AATGTAGTACATTTACACTGTTTGTACTTTGATGTGCAAAAATGTACCTGCACCATCCCTTTTTTTTCCCGAAAGTGTATTTGGAATTTCAGCTTGACCATTCTTCGCAATTGGTCACTCACCATGATGTGACATTGAAAAGCCCTTGACTAATCAGCACTTTCTGCCCAGTGTGCTTCAGCTTTGGGGCAGCGCTATGTAACTGTCGCAGTTTGGGCTTTTGAAATGCTTTTCGTCATCTTCCAGATTAATGAGTTTTTCTTTTTAATTGCTGGGCTTGAAAGTGTAGACACTGAAAAGCTACCTTAATCCCTTTAGATCTGTTTTTCAAGTCTGCTGCCTTTTAGTGTTGTCTTTGTTTCAAAAGCTCTGTGGCCTGTGTAGTCACTGCTCATATCAATCTCAAGTAAGGCTTGCAGGGGCCGTAGGGTGGGTGGCATTTATTTGTGATACCTCTTGTTTTCTCCAGTTTTACACCCAGGGAGTTAGAGAAGGGGTGTGTGTTCTGTTTTATTCTGTTTGGGATTAGTGAAGGAGGTAATGCGGGGGTGGCTAGTTGCTTTTGTTTGTTGTTTTGGCCCACTGTGAAGTCCCCCATGAAGCCAATTACTCCTGTTCCTTTTTTTCTCTACGTGTAAACACCAAAGACTGATGCTGTGAAAATTAAAGGAACATAATAAAAGAGAATATGAACCTTTAGGCTTTGTTGTCATGCTGGTCTTTTTGAGACTTTTACATGTTATAATCTCCAAGAGCCTAGAGTGGACAGACTAGATAGTCAGCCTTTTCCTTAAAATCACAGAAGTTATAACACGCAATGGCAATAAAATCATTACGATTGCCAATGACACTACAGCAGGACTGACCCAATGGATTTGGTTGTTTTGTTGGTATTCGATTATTAATTTATCTTTTTTTCAATCCACAAAAACTAAAGCCTCAGCTTTAACACATTTCATCTGCAAAGGCATTTAAAAAGAATTGTTATTGTTAATAAATGCAAAATTTAACAATACATAAAGGAGGGTGGTGCTAAAACCAGTAAGTACAGAGCCTAAATACCATTTACTGTGGTGGGTTCTGGCGGTAGTGGACACAGGGAACACTGGCACTGCTGTGGTCCCAGGCAGAGGTGTCTTGCATGGGGTTGAAGTTCATGGTAACACTTTACTTGAATCCTGCTACTTTGACATAACCATGTCATAAACATGATACGGTAGCACTTTATTTACAGTTGGGAATAAGTGGGTAATGACATAGTAATATTAGAGTAACTCTATAGTAATTACCTAAATACGACATGCTAATTTTCTTTTTGTTAATAAACAATAAATTAGCAACTGTAATGGTAACAATTTGGTAATAAAATGGTAAAATTGTTGTAATAAGCTGTACTAACGTTAAAATAGAAAATAATGAGTTAGCAATTGAAGTGGTAACTAGTTAAAAACTAACAACCATTAACTGTTAATTTTCCATTTCATACAAAATTAGTACAAGTTACAAAATAGTAAGGAACTGTTAGACAAAGTGAGTAATACTAAACAACTGTTCAGTCATCATAGTCCAGCTCCTACAGGATAATAATTAATAATAGTTTATTAATCCTAATTAATTATTCCTAATTAATTAACAAATAATTCCAATTCTCTTAAACGATTAAAGGCTTTCATAATATTAGGATTACAACACTAAAATAAAGAAGTAGTTCTGCTAAATTGGTGTAGTATTAGCAAATGTGAAGAGTAACGCATTACATTTACTCTCATTCCTGTACTTGAGTACAGTTTTCCCCTGTAACAGCACTTTTTGAAATAAAATGGAATCACTGTACTATTATTCTTACTTGAGTTAATTAATAATACAACATTTTACTTCACTACTTTAATTTTAATGAAATTATTGTAAAAATAAATGATGAGCATCTCCGCTCATAAACCAATTAGAAGAAAGCACAATTAAATTTAAGACTCTGAAAAATAATGTTAACAAACTCAACACTGGTGTCCATCACTACAGTTTACCCATATAAATAAATATGTTTTTGTGGCAGTTTTGGAGGTAAACAGCCTTATAAGGATAAGATAGGAAAAATCTAGTCTAATACAGGTTCTCTGTTACCACCGGAAGATGATTTCATCGCGCTGAGACTTGTTGTTCACATGCCCAAACAGTGACTTTAATCTGACCAGACTGCGGTGGAAGCTCTAAATAGAGATCACCTCACAGGAATAAAGAGCTGCCAGAGAATCCAGAGCATCACTCTAATAGAGTTATAACAGTGTTATTATACTCACCTCATCACTCAGTCTGACCTTACTCCTCCATCTCACCTTACAGATAATACTACATCAGCTGAGACTTCTCTTTTGGCTCTTCTCTCTCTCCTCTCTCCTCTCTCTCTCCCTCCCTCCGTGTTTTCCTTTACTTGTATTAGTACCTTTTAGCTGTATTTCACTCATCTAATTGTGCATGAAGGTATCAGTATGATTACCAGAGGAATATAAATCAGTAAAGAAAATCAAAACTGGATAAATCGCTGTTGTTGCTAATTAGTAATAGTAAGATTATACAGTTTAATGGCTGTAGATGTAACGCTTACTGTCTGAAGAACTTGACACCTATGAGTTAATGTAAGCTAGCATTCAGGAAGCTAGTGGGCAGCAGGACGGTCACTAAAATTACAATATTGAGTAATCTACTCAAAATGTTTGACTTTAAACAGTTATTTTTTTTTTTAAATACAGACTTAATCAAACAGTAACAAACTCTGCAGAGTCTTACAGAGTTCAAACTACTTTACTGGCAACAGATAAACTAGGAGGCCTTATATAATCATCTAACCATGAAATGCATGCACACTCTCAGAAATACAGATACAAAACTGTTACTGGGGCAGTACCCCTCCTGTCATTGGGGTGGGACCCTCAAGAGTACATCTCAGTACCTTTAGTCAGGGAACATAATTGTGCCATAATCCATTGAGATTAGATTTTCTAAGTTGTACTGACTCCACACCCCCGTCTCGTCTGCAGGCTCTTTATTTTACTGTTCTGTTTTAAAACTTTAGATTATGAAAAGGTACAAATATGAACTTTTCACCTGGAAAAACTTATTTAAGTTTCACAACTGGACCTTAAAACCACTGTTGTACCTTTGAGGGAACATTTACTTTGTACCTGCACAGCACCTTTATTTCTAACAGTGCAGCCAGAGACCCTATGCGCCACTGACTGAGAGCTGCATTCCACAGAATGGAAGTAATCACAGGTTCAGTGGTCCCGTTGCACCAGCCAAGCAGGGTACCTGCCCAGTCGCTTCCAGGGTGGTCCTCCTTGAGTTCAAACAGTCCTGAAGCTCTAAAATCTCCTAAATCCTCCTCTCCACTCTCTGTATCTCGACTATGACTGATTATCAGCCTCACTGCTGCTTCCCATGATAAAAACAGCAAACTAGGCAAATAAAAAATATCTTGATAAAAGCAACGAACCAAACAACCTAAAACTAAAATCATAACGGTGATAATTAAAACTTATCTATGTGACGACTCTATAATAAAAGATATATGTATATTGCGGCTTCCATAGCAACAAGCAGCTAAGCTTTAGCTTGACTAGTAGTACATGGTATATACTACTGGATACATTTTGAAGAACAGGCTGACTTAAAATAATGGAAACTTATGAAATGGAAATAGCATTGATTTTAAGTGAGATTATGAGGATGAGTATTTGAGTACTTGTTCAGAAATACCAATAAGTGTTTGGAACCAGCAAATCACTGTTCAGGCCAACCCCAGAATAAAGCGACTGGACATGTAAGAAGCTACACCAACTACAACCTACAGCACCATAGAAAGTGTTCTGACTTGTGGTTTGGCAATCTATCTGTTCTGGACCTTAGATTTCTACATATTTATGCAATCTGATGCTAGACTAGGGTCCACGCCATCATCATGGATGTCTCTCACCCAGCTTGTGTCCTGTTCTCCCCTCTCCTCTCTCTCTCTCTGGCACAGCACCTTCCGCAGAAATAGCGTCTTCCCACAGACCAACAGGAGTCTAATCAGTAAACACACACTGACTGCTGACCCTCTCCACGTCCCGCACTAGACGTCATTCTTATTTTGAGTGCCTCTTCCACTCTTCACTCCCATATTTTTTACCATATGCATCACGGATAATGGGCATTCTATTTATTTTGCCACCTATAATGATCGGATTGGAAACTGGACGGTTTAAATACCAAACTTTGCTAACCATCAGGACAAAATCAACAACTCACTCCAGCACTATTCCTGCCTCCCAGCTCTAGTGTCATTAGTAAGCTATGCAAGAACACCAGTGTAGTCATATTTCTCTTGATTTCAATTTAATTCTAAAAATTATGAGAGTGGCCAATCGTGAACCCAGTATTGTGATCGAATCACAGGGTGAGCATCTACATCCACCCCTACATTCTATTCTATGGCATACTGCATTACTACACACACTGCATAATTCTGCACATTCAATCTGACACTATATATTTCTGACACTGCTGGACTGTATTATTTTGTGCATGGCATTGATCACATGTAATGATCACATGTAATGTGTCTAAAAAAACACGTTTACAAGTAACTATGGGACATAACGCGTAAATATGTGATCACATGTGACAATGTAAATATTATTCGATCACATGTGACAATGTAAATATTATTCGATCACGTGACAATGTAAATATTATTCGATCACATGACAATGCAAGTCATGTGATCATGTGACAATGTAAAAACTGTGATTACATGTGATATAACATCAGTATGCCCGTGTGACATGAATGATAAGATCACATGACAATGTGAATATATCACATGTTAATGTCAATGCAATGACGTGACAAGGTGAATGAGATCACGTGACTCTTAAAACGTGTACCACGCGATGAATGTCATCATATGATCACGTGACAATAATAACATGACTACACAGGACAGCAGGAAAGCAGGAACTGACCTCTGTCTGTGTTGGGCACGCCGAGGTTGATGGTCGGTATTGAGGGATCAGCATGGTCGCTGTAATACTCCAGTCGGGAAGCCTGTTTCTCCCACGTCTTTTTCACCACAGGAACTACAAAAGGACAAAAGACAAATCGATCAACAAACACAGAGAACCTGCCAAACCTTTAGATTATGTACTGGCAGGCAGCTTCTATTCTAGGTCCACCAGTTATGAAGATTTACTCATGCTGTAATGAGTTCTATTCCAGTTCAGACAATCAAAGATTTACTAGCGCCTTGTAATTGCAATTACTTGGCCTGATGTCTACAGTAGACATAGTCATCACTGCAATGCCTCTTTAAATCAAAGCACCTGACATCTGCAATTTGACTTTTATCTATTTGATGACACACATATGAAGCCAAGGGAGTAACTGACATCGGATGCACATTATTGTGAACTGTTGGCTATTGAATAATATGAATTCAATTATTTAATAGGAACACAAATGAATAGCTTATGAACTTTGCAAAACAATACAAAACAGGACTGAGGATGAGAACTGAAGTCAGTCCAAACAACAGCACCTAAAGGCTCCGTTTACAAAACGGAAAATTAAGCAATACAGAGTGCAGCTTTATGTAAATATTATTCGAAAAGATCCCACTCGTTCCTTTTAATACTGCCCTTCAAAGTTATTCGAAGGGACTTCTAAAAGACAATTATGGTAATCCGGGCAATTAAGTATGACTGGGTTGATAGTTTGTCCTTTAAAACATCTGAAACATTAAACTTATTTGAAACAGACAGCAACACCAATGCCTTTCAGCCAAAGGCACTCAAGGAAAGCACTTTACTGAGGCGTAGTACCAAAAGCAAACATATGCACTACTTTTCATTTCCAACCAGTGCTGACTCCAATTCATTGGCTGTAACAGTCACTAATAGTCACTTTTTTCATACTGCTAAATGTGTCCTGACTGCACAGACACAGGAGGCAGTAACCCAACCCAGGAGACTCAAAGAAACATACTAGAACACATTGGAAAACAGCTTCAGCTTCATGTTTCCAGTTTATTAGAAACAACTGCCTTGCAATGTAATTTTATCAGCCATATCGGTGCACTTTTATAGATTTTGTAGATTTACAAACCCAAATATTGGCCGGGAATTTTCCGTCTGAGCCCAAACAGAACCTGACAAAACTCGAAATTCGTTCTCAAAACAACCATCATCATGTTTTGAGTCTATAACTGACCTGAGTACAATAAATTTCTGGCTGAAACTGACCCGAACTGGCCCATCACCACCCAAAGTGCAGAAAGTAACCTGAGAAATTAGATTGACCTGAGATTACAGATAAATAAAATATAATACATTATAAAACAATATAATACAATAATCAGTTATCCAAAATTACTTTAATATTCACTTTAACCAATCTATTCATCAAATAATGTGTCTGAACAGCACTGGGAGTTGCTCCAAAGAACAAACAGACCTAACAGATCTTTGACTTCTCTGTAAAACTGCATTACTAATGTCAAAGTTTATGGTCTAATGTCTAGTCTCTGCAAGGAAACTGTTTTGTGGATGAAAGTATTTATTGGACAAATTAAAAAACATGGTGAGAACAAAATATGGTCAGACTGCAGAGCAGATGACCAATCATTGCCTCTCTACAGATACCTGTACAAGGTATCTGTAAAGATGCACTGACTGGGTATTGCCTCATTCAAAGAACTGTTTTAAAAAAGCACATCTGGAAGGTCAGTGTTTAAAAACAGAAATGCATCCAAACAAGAGGGAAACAATCTACACAGCACTTTATCAGAACAGCATGGAGCAAACAGTATTTCTGCTAGGCAGAGCAAAGAAACAGCATGATTCACATGAGGAAAGCTCACCTCTTTCCAAGTGGAACTTCTTACACGTTTTCACGGCCACAAATATGTCCTCTCTTTTAACTGGCTCACCCTGGTGAGAGAAAGATGAAGAGATGGTTCTAATACTCTACATGTGCACTATTTAACCTATATAAGTATTATATAGCATTAGAATAAATAAAAATAAACATAAATACAGGTAAAAAGTAGCAAAAAATGTCTTGGTTTTTAAAAAGTTGCTATGTAGAAGAACATGGGTTTTGCTCCTGCTGCACTTCAGCCATTGCGCCTGACTTAAAGGAGCATTCCATCCTAAAACTAGAGTTTAATATGTCGCTTGTCATGTTATGTAGTATTCTGAAGTGGAGCATTATATCCGTCCGCTCGCTCAGTTCAATGTACATTCACTACAGTTCCCGGCATGTATTACGTCATTCAACCAATGGAAATCCCTGTGGTGCCAACCAATCCTGACTGCCGGCCAGAAAACAGTGATTCTAGCTTTATTTATCAAATTTTTCCCCACCATTTCAGCCGGAGAAAAGGAGCCAAACTGAGGTGTGGTGTCTGGTCAGATTGCTTATCTTGGGTAAAACATTCTCTCTACTGTAATGATTTGAATACAGTCAGTAAAGTTAAATGAGGACAGCTTTGGAAATAGTTAAGCTAACACACATCAAATCACAGGGGCCTTTATTAAGAGTTGTGTAGATCTGACCCTCCTGATTAACTTATGAACTTTTTATCAAGCCAGCCTAATTATGAAACAATTCTCTGTTGTGAAGGTTGTTAGATTTCATTGCACATATGGTAGCCTACATATTGTAATCACTGCAGTAAGTTCCATCAATTTGTCCGGTTGAAAACATGTTATTAATAATGAAAATGTATTCTCTTTATTACTTTGGACTTCCGATGTTTAGTGTGTTTATTCAAAACAAATAAAATGATACATAGTTTTTTTAAAAAAAAAAGAATTTTCATTTTGGTGCATCACTAATTTTCAGCTTTGTTAGATCACATTTTTACATCAAAATAAAAACAACAACAGCATTCCGAGACGACGTTATTAATGGAAAATAGCTAAAGTGGCAGAAAAGCCACAATTTTGTGTCTGCCTTAATTTTCTGTACACAGCACAGAGACACATACAGAAATACACACAGAGGGACAAACAGAGAAGCACCCAGCAGGAGCTTGCTCATGTTCAGGAAATGCCTGCTGCTCACAATCAATGAAGAAGCTTTGACTTTAGCGTGAACAAGGGAATCTAAACCCCGACTGTCATGTGTATATCTCTGTGTGTGAGAGAAAGCTCTCAACAAGGCATTACAAGGTGCTGAGGGAGGCAGAAAACAAAGCTGGGATCACGTCGGCTTTGAGGCCAGTCATGCTTCAGCAGTTCAGAGGTTTTGCAATGAGTGCACAGAGAGGAAATTGAGAACCAGGGGACTTTTACAGAAGCGGTGGTGAGGAGGAGTCATACAACGACATGAAAAATGTTACAGGCCCAGACTGAGATAACCCGTAAAGTCGCGTAGTGGAGAGCTGGGCACAGCTGGGCACAGCTGGGCACAGCTGGGCACTACACTGCAAAAACTGATATCTTAATCAGTCAAATCATCTTAAATCTACCGAGTACATCTAATATTCATTTTGAGATTGTTTTAAGAATTTTGTAAGATTAATAAGATCACTTACATCTAGACATTTTGTACTTTGTTTTCAAGTGACTTTTTCAAGTGAAACGATGTCACACTATTGACATAATTGTGCTTGTTAGCATATAGTTCTTTGAAAAAGTAAGCTAACTAGACAAAAAAAAAAAATCACCTGTGACAAACGTACCTAACAGCAGGTAATACCTCCACAAGCACGAATAACAGCTGTGATTTGACCTGACAAGTTTCTGGATGCTGGCAACATTAATGTTCAGCCACGCTTGCATCAGAGAATTGTGCAGTTCGGCCAGATTTCGTGGTTGTCTTCCCTGGGGTCTTACTCAATGTTCCAGGTAGACGTCCCACAGATTTTCAAGAGGATTCAAATCTGGGGACTTTGCGGGCCAGGAAAAATGTTCGGTTCCTCGGTAAGATAATGAGCAAAAGGCAAAACCTGGTTGTGCAGCAGCTCAAAGTAGGCACTGTGGTTGAAATTTACTATCACCTCAACCAAACGACCCATTTCTACGTAATTAAAACACCCCCGGAACATCAAAGAACCTCCTCCAGCTTGAACCACACCTTGAACGCAGTCCTCACTGAAGGCTTACTGAGGTCTATGATGAACACGACGCCCAGCATCATCCACATGCAGGTAGGAAGGAGATTCATCTGACCAGATAACACGTTTCCAGTCATGAACAGTCCAGTTTTTGTGTCTCTTCGCCCACTGTAACTTGACAACTTTGTGAGCAGAAGTGAGCAAAGACCACTTGTGTGTCACTCTGCTCCATATGCTCATGGCATGCAGTTGCCTGAGAAGAGTTCTTTTAGAAATTGGTTGTGAAGGAACTTCAAAAAGCAATTTTTGCCTAAAAGCAAAGCAATTTTTATTCATGAGCCATGAAACACATGACCGTACGTTTCAATACACCTGCAAATTCAGCTACTTCCTTCACACTATGGCCTTTGGGACGCTCTAATGCAATCACTCCTTTTTGCCAATCATTAACATCTGTTTTCTAACCCATTTTCCACACATCAAATGAGACATCCACCGGACCACCTTTTCTCAATCTATGAATCCTGTCGCACAGAGACCATCCTCTGAAATTACTATCACCTTAAACAAGGAAGGTGACTAATTTATTGTCTGGGGAGCTTATTTGCCCCCCGTCCTCCTTGTGTATTTCTGCATATTTGTGGCACTAAATGGTTTCAGATAGTCATATAAAATGTAATATAAGACAAAAAGAACACAAGGAAACACAAAACACAGTTTTTGAATGATTATCGCAGTTATTTAAGGAAAAACGTTTTGCAACACCTATTTCACCCATTTGCCCCCTGGGTTTTGCCACCCTTAGCAGCAACAAATGCAATCAAACGCTTCCTAAAACCTCTGATCAGTCTTTCACATCGCCGTGGAGGAATTCTGACCCACTCTTCTTTGCAGAATTACTTTAATTCAGCCACACTGGAGAGCTTTCAAGCACAAACTGCCCATATATAGGGTCCTGTCACAGCATCTCAGTGGGGGTCAAGTCAAACTTTTGACTAGGCCACTCCAAAACTTTAACTTTGTCCCTTTTTGCTAACCGAATGCCTAAATCATCATACGTTTGCGTCAAACCATGTTGACATGTTAGGTAATCTCAAATAGATGTGCATGCAGTTTGTACAATGCTAATTGGAGGGGGTATAAGCTTCCATTACTTGTAAGCTACAACTGCATAGCTGCAGCAGAACTAAAGAAGCAAACGTCTGACACCAAACATATCTTGGCAAACTAACTACATTTGGCTTAAGAGATGGGAAATTGTGTAAAGTTTTGCAGGAAGTATTGAAGTAAGCAATACAGAAGAAGATATTACTGTTTCTATTAAATGTGTTACAATAACAAAAAAAAGAACATGATAATTTAGTTAAATGCTTAAAGGAAGTGCAGTTACTGGTCAGTGGGATTGGATAAGAGCAGTTGACTGGATTGGATAAGAGAAGTTTATTTCTTCCCTGAGATTTATGGTAATCGCTGTTCAGGAAAGGAGGAATAGAACACAGAAGAGAAAGGGAAATAATGAGAGGCAAAGTGCTTTCTATCACGCAGTAATAAAAGCTGGAGGAGACCATTAGCAATCTTCCACTTAGAGATGGGGGGGTGATGTCACTCATCAATCTCCCTGAATAATCTATCTCAGGCAGTAGCTCTGAGCTTGAATGTGAATTAGTAATTATAATGTAATGAATTCTCAGCAGAACTACAGCGCCTTGAAACACCAAGCAACTTGAAACTCATTCTCTCCACATTCTGTTGTCTGAATTTGTGTTTTTGAGCTAAAATAAATTAGCATATCCTTCCATGATGTCTGAACCTATTAAAAGCCCCATTTCCTAGATTTTGTTTCTCACAAGTCCACATGGTTTTATGTAGCTTAAACAGGCATAATTCTAAACAATACACATCAATTTCCATCCTCTCTTCATCCCTTAGACTAAAACAGGCTGCTTCTTCCTTTAAGACTGATATATGTAAATGACCTCTGTTCAGGTTGGCTTCCCTGTGTTGTGCTGTTCAGACTGAAACACTGCTTATAACTTCAGGGTGAGTGGGTGGGGCTAAACTGCTGTAGATTAAATGAGCAGATATAAATGCAAAAACATTTGTTTTCATGACATCCCAGAAACAATGAATTCAGGCTGTTTTTGGAGCTTACCTTCCATGTCTGGACTGTAAGGTATGGGAAAGTGAACGGTATGGTTTGGAAACAATGTTTATACACTACATCTGACTATTTTATATAAAGGGTAAACATTAAAACTAAAGTTTAAAAATGTGCAGTCCATACAGTCCAGAAAGTGACCAGCAGTTTCGAATCTTGAAATTTTTGTGATTCTGTAAAAGCATGTTTTAGTCAATCCAAAATGGTTGATAAGGTGTTGCTAGGCCACTACTATGGTATCCCAGGTGGTTACTAAGGTGTTGCTAGGCTGTTGTTTATGCATCCCAGGCATAGGTGCAGTATGTCTATTTAGCCTATAGCAGTTTAGCTCTGCCCATTTACAATGACAAGGAGTGGTTCAGCTCTTTAAATGAGGCACAATAAAGGGAAGTCAGAACAGAGCTTTTTTTTTTTTTTAAACATGCACTGATGGGCCACTTCATTGAGTACACCTCCATGTATCTACACTCGTCCATTTTATCAGCTCCACTTACCATATAGGAGCACTTTGTAGTTCTACAATTACAGACTGTAGTCCATCTGTTTCTCTGTATACTTTGTCAGCACCCTTTTACCCTGTTCTTCAGTGGTCAGGACTCCCACAGGACCACCACCAAGCAGATATTTGGGTTGTGCTGCTGTGTCTAATCCACTCATACCAGCCCAACATATACACCACCACCACGCCAGTGTCAAAGTGTTGAGAATGATCCACCACATAAATAGAGAAACAGATGGACTACAGTCTATAATGAGTGTAGAAACAAGGAGGTGGTTTTAAAGAGGTTGTGGTTTAAAAAACAGCCTGTTTAATTCTAAGAGATAAAGAGTGAGAAAACTCAGTTTTCCCCGAACATGGGCCCTTTAAAGTAACATCACAAGAGGAGGAAAAGTAAGAAATAATATTAATATTAATAATAATGATTAATTATCTTCTTTTAAAATGCACTTTTCATGCCGGTGGCAGCTCAAAGTGCTTTACAGACAAGTGATAAAGCTTAACAGTAATATAAGAAATTATGAGTAATTTAAAACCATATAAAAAAATAACACAGATCAAATTGCAAGATTAATACCAAGAGACACAGAGTTCTAATTAAATGCTAAGTTAAAGAAGTACGTTTTTAAAAGTTTCTAAAAAGTGTGAACTGAGCTTGACTGTCTGATAAAAGATGAACTGAGTTCCACAGTTTAGAAGCAGAATAACTGAAAGAGTCTCTTGTTTTCTGTATTTTACAGAAGGTATTTGTAGAAGGTCAGTATCTGTAGATCTAAGATCACGCGCTGGAACATAAACAGACAGACATTCTGTAATGTAAGCTGTGCTTTAAGGTCATTTAGAGCCTTAAAAACTAGTAGCAGAACCTTTAAATCTATCCTAAATGATACAGGCAGACAGTGCAGTTCTTTCAAAGCAGGAGTGCTGTGATCTCTCTGTTTTGTTTTTGTTAGGATTCGTGCTGCCGAATTTTGTACAAGTTGTGGAGGCTGTATTGTTTTCTTAGGAAGCCCAGTAAAAAGAGAAATGTTACAAATTTCACTACAGTGTTGGAAAGACACTAAACGCATGCACGGCCTGAAAAAGTAAGTTTGCAGATGAACTCTGTGTACCAAATTAGTGGATCGCAAGCTTTGGATTCATTTACTCCTCCATCTGTGGAGATGAATTATGCATGGTTCAACTCTGCGACTGAGAATGCAGAGCAGGATTCAAATGAAGACAATAATGAAGAATGAAGAGCGGAATTCTTGTGAAGACAATAGCATTCAATCCAGAAACTGATCAGAGCAATCTGAGGGAAGCAGTAAAATGAGAGCAGGACATGGATCATCCCAGGGAATTCAGGGCACTTCAAAGAATCTCCAAAAAGTTCCATAAAAAAAAAAGATCTTATCCTGGCAAAAGCACATCCCTGACCTTCCACGAAGTTCACAAAAACTGCTGTTTGCTTAACAGCCACGTCATCATTCCAACCTCACACTGGAGCTGCCCGTTCTCTCTGGCTACAAAACTGTTAATGTAAGCATTTTCGTTTTAGTATCTGCGGCAAAAACGCATGGATAAAGTTTATGTAATAATAATAACCATAGGCCTTTGAAGTGGCACACATAAATCTGTAATTGTTCCACATTTCAGATAAAGCTAAACACTCTAGGAAAGAATGTAAGGAATTTGGAGCAAATCCTGAAGTTTCCGGTTTTCAAAAAGAAAAATGTATTTAGTATTTTTGGGTTTGATATTGGGCCTCTACAGTCAGCACTGGGTTGCTTTGAGCAACCAGTCCTGTACAGCAGTGGCCGTGCTGGTGCAAGATGTACTGGCTCTGGTTGCCAGGTGTTGCGGTTACCTACACACAGTGGTGAGTGCGTCCTAACGGTGGTGGCGCAGTGATGGGCTCTGGGGGAATTCTCTGGCAGCGTACACAGCTCCGGAACTGCCGTCAGCCTGGGCCCTTTACCTTCATCCCAGATATACAGCGCCACCTATAACAACAGGACACGCTTAACATCAGTGACAGTGATTCACCACGCTGGAAATATTTTACAGAGTCATTTATGAGGATGCACCAAATACATCAATCTGAAGATTCAGTAGAGTTGACTTTGAATGTTATAACTGATTATAACATTATTCAATAAAGAATGCACTAATTTTCTGACCATATACAGAACTGTGCAAAAGTTTTCAGCTGCAGTCACACTAGACATTTGTAGTTCGCCTCCATGCTTTTAGGTGCAGTAAGCAAAGTAGCTGATTCTCTAAACACTAACAGTAGAAACATAAATGTGAACATAATCTGTCAGATTATTACTCCAGTTCTTAAATCTATACAATAGCATCCATGTAGTTTCAGAAAGGTGCTGCTACTAGTCTATAAACCACTCAGTGGTTTAGGGTCAGAATATGTCTCTGATATGCTTCAAGAATATAGAGTAGGTCTCTTAAATCCATGGACTCAGGTCAGCTAGTAGAGCCCAGAGTCCAAACTAAACATGGTGAAGCAGCATTAGCTGTTATGCAACATATAACTGGAACAAACAGCTGGAAGATCTTAGATGTGCCCCAAATATAGCAAATTTACATTCAAGTTAAAAACATGTCTCTTTTTACTGAGCTCCATAACTTGCACTCCATTCTTACTGCACTTCATCCTTAATAAGCTCATTTAAATAACAATTATGTTCTTTGTTTTGTTTGGCTTTGTACATCTTTTAATTATGTTTTCTGAGATGTTTGTCTTTGTGTTTTCTCTCTTAAGTACTTTGTCTTTAATTTTCCTTTTGCTCTCAGTTACGTAAAGCACACTGAATTGCCTTTGTGCATGTTCTGTGCTATATAAATAGACTTGTATTTAAATGCAGTAAGCCAAGGAGATAGCATAGCAGTTTGCAAGCTGGCTAACTCAACTAAAATAAACACTAAAAATACAAAAGTAAAGATAATGCAGTCTCTAGTTCTCCCTGCGACCCAAGAGGATAAGTGGTTTAGATAATGTGTGTATGTGTGTGACAATTTAATACAGAAAAAAAAATATGAATAACATTAATACTAAACATCAACTGTTATTCTTTCTCTCTCATCCTGTACATCACCTCTTCCAGCCACTTCCCTCTGGTAGAAGGTTCAGGGCCATTAAAGCCAGCACAGCTAGACATGCTAACAGCTTTTTCCCCAGAGCTGTAGAGCTCATTAACCACAGTAAAAACCTCACACTTTAAACTGAAACCAAACAAACCTCCTTATTGTATTAGAGTAAAACTCCTTCTCTATGCTTATTTGCACAACTGAGCAGATATTCATTTTTACAAATGTATATATTATTCTATAATTTTCTGTATATAATAGTATATAGTATACTCTGATCAGGCATTATGTCCACCTCCTTGTTTCTACACTCATTGTCCATTTTATCAGCTCCACTTACTATATAGGTGCACTTTGTAGTTCTACAGTTACAGACTGTAGTCCATCTGTTTCTCTGCATACTTTGTTAGCCCACCTTTTACCCTGTTCTTTAGTGGTCAGGAACCCCATGGACCCTCACAGAGCAGGTACCATTTGGGTGGTGGATCACTCTCAGCACTGCAGTAACACTGACGTGGTGGTGGTGTGTTAGTGTGTGTTGTGCTGGTACGAGTGGATCAGACACAGCAGTGCTGCTGGAGTTTTTAAACACCTCAGTGTCACTGCTGGACTGAGAATAGTCCACCAACCAAAAATATTCAGCCAACAGTGTCCTGTGGGCAGCGTCCTGTGACCACTGATGAAGGACTAGAGGATGATTAGCTCATACTATACAGCAAGAGATGAGCTATCGCCTCTGGCATTACATCTACAAGGGTGGACCAACAACGCAGGAGCGTCTAATAGAGTGGACAGTGAGTGGACACTGTTTAAAAACTCCAGCAGCATTGCTGTGTCTGATCCACTCGTACCAGCACAACACACACTAACACACCACCACCACATCAGCGTTACTACAAAGTATGCAGAGAAACAGATGGACTACAGTCTGTAATTGTAGAACTACAAAGTGCACCTATATAGTAAGTGGAGCTGATAAAATAGACAATGAGCGTAGAAACAAGGAGGTGGTCATAATGTTATGCCTGACCGGTGTATGTCTACTCAGATTTTAATATCCACAGATATTCTCTTTAGCTCCTTTCACACTGGCTCTTAATTATTTATTATTATTATTATTATTATTATTATTATTATTATTATTGTTATTATTATTATTAATCATATTATTATTTGTTTTATTTTTATTCACATTTTCTCTTTCATTACTTTACATGTCATACATGTTTGCACTCAAGGGGACAAATTCCTTGTATGTGTAATAAACTGGCAAAATAGTTATTCTGATTCTGATATACTTAAAACATTATATTAAAAAGATATGGACAGAATCTTGGAATGAAAGTTTTGAACAACCTCCTTCTCATTTCATGCCAGTTATTCTAATGTTGGAACTCACATCTAAAAGACTGCAGAATGAGACCAGCTTCTAACTGCACTCGACTAATCAGTAGCGTCACAGCAGGACAGGCTTTAATTCCAAATCATTATTCTTTTGCCAAATTGACATATGTATTATCAAATTAAAAGCAGATACATAAATTAATTTATTCATAGGACTTTTTAAGTGTATAAACCCCCAAGCTGAGGGTTAGACTGATATGACTTGACTGTATCAAAGTCCCAAAACCAACCCGACTACAGAGTGTGTCTATACTTCAAACAGTCTACGGCTTTTACTACCAAACGCTGTAAGAGACGCAACTGAGAGAAAGATTCTGACAGTTCGGGGACTTTTCATATAGAACGACATGGGCATATATAAAAAGGTGAATATCACAATGACAAGCAACGAAAGACAGTTCTCAGAAAGAGAGCGAGAGAGTGAGAGAGAGAGTGAGAGAGAGAGAGGGAGAGAGAGAGAGAGAGAGAGAGCGAGAGAGAGAGGCAGAGAGAGGGAGAGAGAGGGAGAGAGAGGGAGAGAGGGAGAGAGAGGGAGAGAGAGGGAGAGAGGGAGAGAGAGCGAGAGAGGGAGAGAGAGGGAGGGAGAGAGAGAGAGAGAGAGAGAGAGAGAGAGAGAGAGAGGGAGAGAGAGAGAGAGAGAGAGAGAGAGAGAGAGAGAGAGAGAGAGAGAGAGAGAGAAACATGCTATGAATGTGATTAAGTTTCCAACAGAGACCTGAGGATACACAGGGAAGGGAAGGACAAAGGCTTTTAAGAGACAAGCTCAGCACACAAGGAGAAAGTAAAGAGAGATGGAAAGAGAGATCGAGTTGAGCTGAAGATACAAAATGTCCCCAAGCTCTGCAACGTGACAGTTTCATGCCGGAGAGCCGAGGGGATGGAAAGCCTCCGAAAAAGAATGGAGCCAAAGATTAGTTGCAAGAGTGTGCAAGAGCAGCGCAACAGCTTTCATTTAAACAATTATCACATGCTTGAAAAACACATGAGCCTAATCGCCTTAAAGCACTGGCTCCCATACTTGTACCCATTCAGACATTACACTTCCTGCTTGTCATTTCATGTTTCATTAATGAATACAAGTTTCTTTTAAGCGCAATAATTTAACATTTCTTAACATAAAACAAGCAGGTAAAGAGCTGAAAACTGCAACATAAACAGCCCATTAATGGGCAACATTTAACATCTATAAGATCAGACCTCAGAAAATCCTATGGCTAAGACTTGTGACCATATATGTGTGTGTGTGTGTGTGTGTGTGTGTGTGTGTATATGTGTGTATATATATGTATATATATATATATATATATATATATATGTACACACATACACACACACATACACACACACACACACACACACACATATATGGTCACAAGTCTTACACACACACACACACAACCCCATTTCCAAAAACGTTGGGACGCTGTGCAAATTACAAGTAAAAATAGGAAAATATTTTTAAAGGAAAATACTACAAAGACAACATATCAAATGTTGAAACGGAGAAATTTTATTGTTTTTTGAAAATTATATGCCCATTTTGATTTAGATGCCAACAACACGTTCCAAAAACGTTGGGACGGGGGCATGTTCACCACTGTGTTTCATCACCTCTTCTTCAACAACACTCTGTAAGTGTTTGAGAACTGAGGAGACCAACTGTTAAATGTTTTCCCGTTCTTGTTTGATATAGAATTTCAGCCGCTCATCAGTTCAGGGTCTCCTTTGTCATATTTTTAATTTCATAATGCACCAAATGTTTTCAGTAGTGACAGATCTGGACTGCAGGCAGGCCAGTTTTGCACCCAGACTCTTTCAATAAAGAGCAATGCTGTTGTAATACATGCAGAATGCGGTTTGACATTGTCTTGCTGAATAAAACAAGGCCTTCCCTGAAAAAGACGTCATCTGGATGGCAGCATATGTTGCCAAAACATATATATATATATCATTCAGCATTGATGGTGCCTTCACAGATGTGCACGTCACCCAAACCATGTGCACTAATGCACCCCTATACCATCATGAATACTGGCTTTTGAACTGTGCACTGATAACAAGCTGAGTGGTCTTTGCCCGGAGGACACAGTGTCCACGATTTTCAAAAAGAATTTTAAATGTTGATTTGTCGGAGCACAGAACACTTTTTACTTCCCCTCTGTCCATTTTAAATGAGCTCAGGCCCAGAGAAAGCGGCGACGTTTCTGGAACCTGTTTATATACGGTTTCTTCTTTGCGTTTTAGAGTTTTAACTTGCATTTGTGGATGCAACAACGAACTGTTTTCACAGACAGTGGTTTTCAGAAGTGTTTCTGAGCCCATGCATTTCCACTACAGAATCATGTCTGTTTTTCATGCAGTGCTGCCTGAAGGCCCGAAGATCATGACCAGCAAATACTGGTTTTTGGCCTTGTCCCTTACAGACAGAGATTTCTCCAGATTCTCTGAATCTTTTAATGATATTATGTAGCGTAGATGATGAAAAGCAAAAGTTTTCTGCTATTTTACATTGAGAAATGTTCTTGAATTGTTGCAGTATTTGATCATGCAGTTTTTCACAGAGTGGTAAACCCCTCCCCATCTTTACTTCTGAAAGAATTAAGTCTGAATTGAATTACTGGTAGTTTCTCCTGAATGTGTGGTGCCCAGGAGAGGTCAGAGTGAAACACTTTCTTCTCTAATACAAATTTTTATAAAAAAGAAAAAAAAAAGATCAAATAATAAACTATTAGAGCTTGATTTGCCCTGTCCTGGAGGTGTGTGTCACTCAAATCAGAGAAGTACACCATCATTTCAATGTGCTTCTCTGTACTTCTGTACGCAGAAGAGAACAGAAAACCTATAGAATTCAGACTTTAAGGAACTGCTGAAGCTTTGGTTATAAGTGAGCTTTGGGTGCATGGGTTTCCTCTTCTTTCCTGTTCTGCATCAAGAAACGAAGGCGACAGCGACTGTGTTGATTCTGACATATCATCGAAGAGGAGGTTAAGGGGAATTCCACCAATTTTTCAAAATTTCACCACAAATAAATGCTGACGATATTTGGTGACATTTTATTTTTAGTGGTCCTTTTTAGATGAAAAAACACTCAATGGACTGTCAGTAACATGTCAAAAACATGTGAGGGTTAAGATTAGGTTTTGGGTTGAGGTTAAGGTTAGAGTTAGGATTAAGGCCAGGGTGGGATTAGGATTAGGTTCTGGTTTGAGGTTAAGATTGGGGTTAGGTTTAGGGCCAGGGTGAAAGGTTAGGTTTTGGGTAAAGTTGGGTAAGGTTAGGGTTAGGATTAGGTTCTGGGTTGAGGTTAAGGTTAGGTTTAGGATTAGGGCCAGGGTTAGAGTTAGGTTTTAGATAAGGTTGGGTAAGTTCAGGTTTTGTGTAATGGAAGTAACATACTAACAACACATCTACTTAATGTAAGTAATGTATCAACAGAACATCTACAAGATATTTACTTCAGTGTATTCAGATGCATCACTACTCCTACTTCACTGATATGCTGTTGATGTGTTACTGATAATCTGTTAAGAGTTTATTAATCATCTACAAAAGACCACTCCAAATGAAGTGTTACCCTCAGTTTTGTCCCATACTTTGCAGTTGCGTAAATTTACTAAAAAACAGGCTTTAGGTCACATTTTTCCCAATAACGATGGCTCACGAACATTTAAACACAAATGCAGCCACTGTTGTGGCTGAAGAAGAGGCTGCATCAGTGAAATGAAGAGCTTTAAGGTGAATTTAAAACTAAGTAACTAACAAACAAATACACAGTTCATTAGCAACAGTAATTATGGTTTGCTTACCTCGTGTTTGAGGTCTATGGTGAAGTCTGACTTTAAAGGCTCCTGCAGCACCTTATTTGCAAGCCTGAAATGAGAAAATGACCAGTTAGCCTTATCCTACCCACTATTTAATCAGAAATGCATTCAGAGACTACAGAGCAGTAAAGCAATATACTCAAATATCAGCGAGGCCTGGCAAGTAAGCCGATGATGGTGATTAAATGGTGATGATAGCCATTTTGGGAATGAAAACTGACAAAAAACTGGAGAGGACTAATTCAATTTTTAACAAGTTGCTAAATATAATAAATAATATGTACATGTAATATTGTATTAGTGTTGACTGTTGGAATTTTACAAGGCATAAATAAGTCAGTAGGTTTCAATAAAGTCAATTTTGCATTGTTTTTGCTGGTTTGTAAGTCCAGTCTAAGGGTTCTGATGGTACGAATGGTGTTAAGTTATATAAATATAATATTTCATGGTTTCCCCCACAGTCATCCATAGCTGAATTCCACAGCAGATTCATTACAGCAGTGACAAAACACCTTGTTTTTTAAACATATAAAGCATGTGGATGTGGCTTTAGAAGTTATTCACTCACTCACGTACAGCAGTCTGATGTCCCTCCACAAGAGGGAGCTATCAGACTGCAAGTCACTTTTACGTCCATCATTAAAAGAGAAAAAACAGCTGTGGACCCACACCAGCAGGAGCTAACAAATGTGCATGTTTATCAGCAAAACAAAAGGTGAAACAGTAAAACAACTATGTTGATTCACTCAGTATTATATAATATGCAACAATCTTTCAACAAAGATTTTCATTAATGGGCAAAATAATCAATAATCCCAATTTTTTTTACAAGAAATGATCTCGCTTACTAATTTCAGATACTGTCCAAGCCTAGCATATACATTCAGAAGGCAATTCACATTAATATGAAAGCACAACCTATTAAGGATGTAATAATAAACATGTCATACTGAACTGTATTGCAGCATCTCATATTGTATAGTACTGTTGTATCATGACTGGCATGTTAGTTTGTAGCTTGTGTGTTAGCTTGAGGCTTGAGCATTAGACTGGGACACTATAAAGCACAACCTATGCTGAATATGCTACAAAAGTAGCATTCCCACATAAAAATGTGATGCCAGCTGTGAGAAATCCCATTATTAAAGAAGAAGAGTAGATAAAATAGCGGAAATCACTACTTTTTGGACTCTGCATTACAGGATTAAATTAGTCAATGCCTGTTTAAAGAATAGCTGCAAATTTGGCTTTAATTAGAGAGAGATGAGGTGAAAATGGGGCTATTTGTGATAGTAATCACTGCCTTAGACTAATCAGTACAGATAGAGACACTGGAAAGTGCTATCACCACTGTTCCAAAAGCACAGAATACAAAGGAAAAGTGTGATCCATGTGGTGCCGGTTTTATAATGCGGTGTGCTGCGGTCAGACCTGTTGATGAGGGGAATGCTAAGAGCCCATCCTGCAGAGAAGTCTGGGTACTTGAAGGCAGAGGGGTTCTCCGCAAAGGCATAATGGTGGATGATGGTAGATTCATCATCGTGTAGTGGTTTGCCAAGAAACCACTCCTAAAGAAAGGGAGAGTGAGAGAGAGAGAGAGAGAGAGAGAGAGAAAGAGAGAGAGAGAGAGAGAGAGAAAAGCATGCAGTGAGAGTGACGCCAATCTCAGGCCAAAGAACATCTATTATGTTCTGGCGCAGTTCAATCAGGTTCTGGCAGGATGAAGTAAATACATAAAAATAACTCACTCTGTAATCTGGATGAAGCATGATCATTCATAAAAACGGTCATGCTATAGCAGTGGGATAATATGGGCGAATATTTATATCACAGTATAATTAAGGTTTTTGATATTTTGATATTTGAGTACCCATAAGGGTTGCAACATTGTCCAGTTAACTGCAGGGAAGGAAAATAAATAAAATAAACCAAGTTTATACAACATTTCACTGTTGTCCGAACAAAACCTCATATTTCCAAAATAGTAACTTTACAGGAGAAGGAAAAAACATGCTTTACTCTTAATGTAAGTCAATGGAACCAGACTTTTTTCCAAGTTATTATGGGTCATTTGTTTTCGTCCATTCGTCATGAAATTTGCACACAAGGTAAAGGTCAGCTGGCATTTTCAAACTGTGATAAAAACTGAAAATGACAAAAATGGAGATATGAGGTTTTGTTCCGACAGCAGCGATATTTTATACAATGTAGAGCTGTAGGCTTAACTTTTTAGGTGACAGCACTGGTGGAGACACTGATAGGCTTTTGTGCCGGGCGAGTAACCCAGGCCAGTGATGTCCAATCTTGTCTTCAAAGGGCCGGAGTGGCTGCAGGTTTTCATTCCAAACTTGCAGAGCGCACCTGATTCTATGTGCTTAATCAATTGGTCAGTCTTCAAAGAACTGATCTTGTGAGCTCCTGCCTTGCTGGACAACCTGTAGCCACACTGGCCCTTAGCAGATAAGACTGGACACCACTTGCATAGGTCATAAAATCATGGCTTCTACACTCAAATAGTGAACTGAATGTTAAATAGGATGTTGTGCATATAGTTGTGCTATCCCCTGCCTTCTTAGCCACATCCGTAACAATAAGTTCTCGGCAATTTGATCATGTTCTTAAGTATCAGTGCACATCCCTAGAGTCTCAGTATAGTGCATTTATGTATTTATTTATTTTTTTTGTATTTTGGATGCTTAAGTAAACCTGTTTTGTAGATTAACAGTGGCGTGTTATTCGGCGATGTCCCTTCACTTTAAAAGAACTATATTTAACAACTGAAGTAAATCTAAAACATTTTTATGCGCAAAAAAATTAAATGAACAGTATATAGACAGATGTGAATACTGCTTTCTAACCCTAGCGAGATAAAGGAGAGAGTATTTAAGCAAACAGCGGCTTCCCTGAGTCCAGCCAAAACAGTGCTAAATATAGTTTTACATTCAATGTAAATCATTTCTTACACTTGAGCTTTCAGATGCCGCTAGAATATCAAAAATATCGAGGCCCAAACCCCAAGACCATGTTGCCTGAATCAGCTGGACAAGCAGGGGCACCCTAGGCTGTGCACACATGCTAGGCTGTTGGCTAACAAAGAGAGACCTTTCCTTCTACCTCTTTTCTCTCTTAACTCACTACATTCTAAGGTTCGCTGCTCCAACAACAAACTGGACTAACTTAACTCACACTGCAACTCACTACATGGGAAGTGAGAGACGATGTATTTTGTGCTGTCTGAACAGTAAGGTCCATAAGTATTTGGACAGCGACGGAATTTTGGTATTTTCGTCTCTGGACACCACCATAATGGATTTGCGATGAAGCAATCAAGATGTGACTGAAGTGTAGACTTTCAGCTTTAATTCAAGGGGCTTAACAAAATGATTGCACTGTTAACCCATTAGGAATTACAGCTAATTTTTTATACAGTCACTCCATTTTCCCAGGCCCAAAAGCAATTAGACAAACTAACAATTATAAATAGAATGATTATTTTTAATACTTGGATTCAAATTCTTTGTCAATGACTGCCTGAAGTCTGGAACTCATGGACGTCACCAAAAGAGTTTCCCTTGAGATGCTTTGCCAGGCCTTTACTGCAGCCACTCTCAGTTGCTGCCTGTGGGTCTTTCTGCCTTCAGTTTTGTCTTCAGAAACTGAAAAGCTGCCCAAATAGGTTGAGGTCAGGTGACCAACTTGGCCATTTAAGAATGTTCCACGTCTTTGCCTTTAGAAGCTCTTGGTTTGCTTTGGTGGTATGTTTTGGGTCATTGTCCATCTGTAACGTGAAGCGCCATCATATCAGTTTTGCAGCACTCCACTGAATCTGGGCAGAAAGTAGAGCTCTATACTCTTCAGAGTTCATCCCAATCTTCTCTCAGCAGTCACATCATCAATAAACACCAGTGCCCCAGTTCCACTGGCAGCCATACAGTGGTGCTTAAAGGTTTGTGAACCCTGTAAAATCTTCTATATTTCTGTATTTGACCCGAAACTTCATCAGATTTTCACACAAGTCCTAATAGTAGATATCGAGAACCAAATTAAACAACGTAGACAACAAAACATTACACTTGGTCATTTATTTATTGAGGAAATGATCCAATATTACATTTTTTTGAGTGGCAAAAATATGTGCACCTTTAGGATTAGCAGATAGTTTGAAGGTGAAATTAGAGTCAGGTGTTGTCAACCAATGGGATGGCAATCAGGTGTGAGTGACCACCCTGTTTTATTTAAAGAACAGGGATCTATCACAGGAGGAATGGGCTGAAATTCCACCAAGCCGATGTGCAGGACTAATCAGTTACTGAAAATGTTTAGTTGCAGTTGTTGCTGCACAAGGTGGTCACACCAGATACTGAAAGCAAAGGTTCACATGTTTTTGCCACTCACAAATATGTAATACTGGACCATTTTCCTCAACAAATAAATGACCAAGTCTAATATTACTGTCTCATTGGTTAAATTTGGTTCTCTTTACCTACTATGAGGACTTGCGTGAAAGTCTGATGAAGTTTTAGGTCAAATTTATGCAGAAATATAGAAAATTCACAGGTTCACAAACTTTCAAGCACCATTGTACATGCCAATCGTATAACACTGCCACCACCATGTTTCACAGATGATGTGATATGCTTTGGATCATAAGCCATTACTTTCCTTTTCCACTCTTTTCTTTTCTCTTCTCATCATTCTGGTACAAGTTCATCTTGGTTTCATCTGTCCAAAGGCAGGCTTTTTAAAGATGTCTTCTAGCAAAATCTAATCTGCCCTTTCTGTTCTTGAGTGTTACCAGTGGTTTACATCTTGAGGTAAACCCTCTGTATTTACATTCATGAAGGCGTCTCTTGATTGTAGACTTTGATAATAATATGCCATATATCTCTAGAATGTGTTTGACTTGACTAGACGTTTGAAGGGTTTTTCTTCCCCACTGAAAAAATTCTGCGATCACCCACTTTAGTTGTCTTTCATGGTCTTCCAGGTCTTTTGGTGTTGCTGAGCTCGCCAGTGCATTCCTTCTTTTTAGGAATGTACCAGGTTGTTGATTTGGCCACTCAAATTTCTGCTATCTCTCTGATGGGTTTGTATGGTTTGTTCAGCCTAATGATGCTCCCTTCACTTGCATCAGCACCTCTTTGTAGTATATATTGAGAGTTCACATGAACAGCCACCAAATGCATATTCAACACTTGGAATCAACTCCAGACCTTTTATCTCCTTAATTTGCAATGAAATAATGAGGGAACAGGCCACACCTGGCCATGGAACTGCTCATCAGTCAACTGTCCAATTACTTTTGAGCCTGTGAAAATGGAGGGACTAGGAGTTATGGTCTGTATGCTGTGTTAACTGCACTTATTTGTGCTTTACCTATATAACAGTAACAACAAAACTCATACCTTGGGAATAATTTCAACCAGATATACTGTATGAACCATTACACCACCCACTACTAGAACTCTGGCAAAAATTATGGAATCACCACACTTGAAGGATGTTCCACTTTTTTACTTCATGGCAAATAAACAATCACAGATATGATACAAAACTGTATTTATAAAAAAGCTAAACATTCATGCTTCATGAAATATACCTCAAATAAATTACATTAAATGATTTTAGTTAATGGCATATCTTATCCCAGATCCCGTAGAAGAAAAATATGGAATCACTCATTGTTGAGAAAAAATATAGAGTCATCAACAAGCAAAAAGCACAATTAGTACTTTGTTGCTCCTTCTCTGGATTTTATGATGACCTGAATTCTTCGAAGCATGAACTTCAGCAATGAAAAACGGTTTTCTACATCAAGCTGGTTCCAACTTTCTCAAATAGCGGTTGACAGATCAGCTTTGCAGGAGCTTTGTCAGGGACCAATTTTTTAAAATTCCACCATAAACTTTCAGTTGGACTGAGATCCAGACTGTTTGCTGGCCATGTCACTGAGTTGACACACTTTTCCTGAAGAAAAGCTTTAATAATTTTTGCTCTGTAACTAGACGCGTTATCATCCTGAGAAATGACTTCATTGCCAAACCTGTTTTCAATCGAGGAACGTGCCCAAAATTTCAATGTCCACCTGTGCCTTGACTGTCAAGGTAACAAGCACCATCATAATTAAGTGGGGACTTTTTTTTTTCTCTGGACAGTTATCTTCATGTGGCACCAGAACGGCACCAGACAAAAGTTCCAGCATGATCTTCTTGGCCAATGCAGATTCGTGGTTCATCACTTTCCTCCAATCATCCACAGTCAATGTCTGCTCCTCTTTAGCCCACTGCAACCTTGTATTCGTCTGTTTAGGTGTTAGTTCTGGTTTTTGCTGGACTTTTCTGTATGTAAATCTCATTTCATTTCCTACAGATCTGTCACACTGACCCCTGTTTCCACCCATTTGTTTGTCATTTTCGTTCTATTTTTAAGGCATACTGCTCTGAGTTTTCTATCTTGACGTTTTGACGTCTCTTTGGTCTCTGTATGTTCTCCTTGTATGACCTTCCCACTTTGTTTAAACCTGCACCAAACTTTAGACACAGCTTGAAGGAGATCTATAATGCTTTCCACTGTTTCAACTGACAACTCTCTTGTTGGCCATGTTCTCTTTTCATTAGTCAAGTCCAACTAAGGTCTGTAAGCACCCCCTTTTAACTGCAGACTGACCTGCATTTTGTTGTGCTATTATTTGTTTTAGTAATGCAAATTACAAAGGTGATTCCATATTTATTTTCCCTCAACACTGAGTTTGTATGCTACACTGTAAAAAATGAGAGGCCAGCTCAACTCAAAATGATATAGTAACTGATTATATGGCTTTTCTTGAGTTGACTCAACTTGAGGACACAACTTGAGTCAACTCAAGAAAAGCCATGTAATCAGTTACTATATCATTTTAGGTTGAGTAGACTTCTCTTTTTTTGTGTCAGTGTATGTCTCACAAAGCCAGAATGTTCAGCTATTAAACAAAAAAAGTTTTCAGCCCATTATTTGTTTATTTGCCACAAAGTAAAAAAGCTGGGTTAACATCCTCTAAGTGTGGTGATTCCATCATTGTTGCCAGGGGTTGTTTAATGCTATTTCTCATAAAAACATGAGCATCTAAATATGATAGCGTTACCCAGTTAGTGGGTGGGGCTATGTGTAGTTTGCATGATAAGCTGCAGTCTTAGCAAATCAAATGTCAAATTCAGGTGCATTGTAGGCACATTTTGAGCTGCTCCTGCATTCATACAGAGCATGCAAATGTTTGGGCGCCTTGGTTTTAATGCACAGTTTCTATTTTTTTGCTGAATTTAATATACTGGGAAAAATATATGAATAAAATGTGGCCTGTGCAAAAGTTACAACACATTATATAATTTGTATCCTTCCCACTATGTTAAGCTCAGCAAATAAACAGAAACTGTGCACTAAATTAGCAGAAAAATGTCATATTTAAGTGTGTTCTATGTAGAGGATCTGTTAACTTATTTTCACTCAGAAAATCAATAAAACATTTCATTTGTCCAAGCGTTTGCATACAACTGTACAACCCCATTTCCAAAAAAGTTGGGACGCTGTGAAGAATGTATATTAAAATAGAATGCAATGCTATGCAAATCATGTAAACCTTTTTTTAAAGGAAAACACTACAAATACAACATATCAAATGCTGAAATTGAGAAATTTTATTGTTTTTTGAAAAATATACGCCCATGACAACACATTCCAAAAAAGTTGGTAGGGGGGCATGTTTACCATTGTGTTTCATCACCTCTTCTTTTAACTACACTCCGTTTGGGACTGGAACTGAGGAGACCAACTGCTGTAATTTTGAAAGTGAAATGTTTTCCCATTCCTGTTTGATATAGGATTTCACCTGCTGAACAGTTCAGGGTCTCCTTTGGCGAATTTTTCATTTCATAACAATCCAAATGTTTTCAGTGATGACAGGTCTGGACTGCAGGCAGGCCAGTTTAGCACCCTGACTCTTTTAATAAAGAGCAATGCTGTTGTAATACATGTAGAATGCGGTTTGACGTTGTCTTGCTGAAATAACCGTGGCCTTTCCCGAAAAAGACGTCGTCTGGATGGCAGCATATGTTGCCAAAACATGTATATGTCGTTCAGCATTAATGGTGCCTTCATAGATGTGCACGTCATCCAAACCATGTGCACTAATGCACCCCTATACCGTAATGAATGCTGGCTTTTGAACTGTGCACTGATAACAAGCTGAGTGGTCTTTAGCCCAGAGGACACAGTGTCCATGATTTTCAAAAAGAATTTCAAATGTCGATTTGTCAGACCACAGCACACTTATCCACTTCCCCTCAGTCCATTTTAAATGAGCTTGGGCCCAGAGAAGGTGACAGTGTTTCTGGATCCTGTTTCTATATGCTTTCTTCTTTGCATTTTAGTGTTTTAACTTGCATTTGTGGATGCAGAGATGAACTGTTTTCACAGACAGTGGTTTTCAGAAGTGTTCCTGAGCCCACGCAGTGATTTCCATGACAGAATCATGTCTGTTTTTAATGCAATGCTGCCTGAAGGCCCAAAGATCACGGCCAGCAAATACTGTTTTTTGGTCTTGTCCCTTGTATACAGAGATTTGTCCAGATTCTCTTAGTCTTTTAATGTTATTATGAACCGTAGATGATGGAAAGCAAAAAGCTCTTTGCTGTTTTATGTTGAGAAACATTATTCTTGAATTGTTGCACTGTTTGCTCATGCATTTTCACAGAGTGGTGAACCCCTCCCCATCTTTACTTCTGAAAGACTCAGCCTCTCTGAGAGCTCATTTTATACCCAATCATGTTACTGGCCTGTTGCCTATCAACCGCCAGGTGTTTCCTTTACCATTACACAACTTTACCAGCCTTCTGTTGCTCCCATCCTAACTTTTTTGGAATGTGTTGTTGCTATCAAATTCAAAATGGGCAAATATTTTTCAATAAACAATACAGGGTTTAAATGATTTGCACATCATTGCATTTTGTTTTTATTTGCATTTTGCTAATTTTTGTGTCCCAACGTTTTTGGAAATGGGGTTGTACATCTGGCCCAAAAATTCAAAGCTATGAGTGAATGGAAGCTATGTCCCCCCTCGGACATCAGGTGACTTGAAGATGCAATGATGTCCAGGCTGTTTTCATTTTCTGCCTATTTAATGTTGTTTGGGCCAGGGGAGTGTACCATTAGAGTGCCATTAGCTGCTGCTACACTTTGTCAGCCTTGACATTTCAGTAAATAGGATGACTAAAGTACCTAAGAACCACAACTGGCACCACAATCTGTTTGTCTGGTCACAGCTGTAATTCCAATCGAATTGTGTTAAGAGCTAAACATAATTTAGTAATTCAGTAATTTAATCATAAACATGATTTAGTAATTAGAAACTGTGCAAACCCATAAAATAAAGAGTTTATTGAACAGAGCAAAGAGCTGGACCACAATGCCTTAAGACCACAATCAGAGATTCAGCTCAGCAGTGAAATTTTTACAACACACAGAGGGGCTGTTGAAGGAATGTAGCCATTCTCTAGTCCTTCATTAAAAGGGTGCATGTCATGAAAAACAATTTTCCTCATTTTTTTTCTAAAAATAAGATTTTGCTGTAGTATATAACTTGCTAAAGGTTCAACATACCACTGTTTTTGAAACACTGCCTTTGTGATGTCACAAAATCCAACACATTTACATATATCCACCTATTCGGCCTACAGCAGTTTAGTTCCTCCCATTCACGCCACAGTTATAGGCAGTATTTCAGTCTGGACTGCTTTTTTGAATAAGGCACAATAGTGGGCAGCCAATTAGAAAAGAGGTAATTTACATATAACACTCATTAAGGCATATTCTGCTTAATTTTGAAGAAAAAAGAGAGGTTAGAATATGGTGTTGTAAAAATTATTACTGTTTTTGGTAAATAAAACTACACAAACATTATACGTGGAACTCAGGGGGGAAGATTAAGATTAAGTGACCCTTATTAGTCCCACAATGGGGAAATTTCACCTCCGCATTTGACCCATCCGTGCAATGAAACACCATATGCACACTAGTGAATGCACACACACACTAGGGGGCAGTGAGCACACTTGCCCGGAGCAGTGCCTGGGGAGCAGTTGGGGGTTAGGTGCCTTGCTCAAGGGCACTTCAGTCACATACTGTCGGCTCAGGGCATCGAACTGGTTAACTTCTGGTCACAGGGCAGGTTCCCTAACCTCCAGCCCATGACTGCCTTCAAAAAGAGCCGCACCATGTTTTTGCATGTTAGGCAAACGTGATGACCACTACACTACATCTGCTGTTCTGACAATGTTCATGCTTCTAAGGACTAAAACATTGCTAAGGATCAGAGATGGCACTATTTTCTTTTCTACTACTGATACTGAAACCTTTTTATTGGGTGATTCCAATATGATATTTCTTTATTTAAAAATGATTACGCTTTAAAAGGGATGCACTGATACCACTTCTTATCTTCTGACACTGAATACTTAAGTTTCAGTTGATACTTTGCCCCGATACCGATGCTTGATCCTTAAGTATTGGCCTATCCTTGATTCTTAGGTATTGGCTGATACTGAGCTCAGACATCAATACTTGATCCTTAAGTATCAACAAATACTTGACCCTTAAGGATCAGTCGATACTGAGCACCGACACGGATACTTGATCTTTAAATATTGATCGATACCTAAGGATAAAGTATTGGTGTCAGTGCTCAGTATCGATCAATGTTTATAGATCAAGTTTCCGTATCGGTGCTCAGTATCGACCGATCCTTAAGGATCAACCAATACTTGACCCTTAAGGATCGGTCGATACTGAGCACCGACACGGATACTTGATCTTTAAATATTGATCGATACTAAGCACTGACACCAATACTTTATCCTTAGGTATCGGCTGATACCTGATCCTAATACATGCACAACAGTCACTGCAGCCGTGAACTGATGGCTGGTTTATTTTCCCCCACTCCATTGTCCATGGTTTACTGTCTAGTCTCTACAGTCCTGTACTTAATGGCTGCACAGTTTATTGTAGTGCTTTGTATCGTTTATTGCCTGTATTGATGATATTCATGGTCTGTCTGCTTTGTTCTATGCCTCCATTTTATTTTGAAGGAAGCACCGCATCCCGAAGGAACCATATTTCATCTCTAACTCAACCTGTCTCTGGTCAGAAGGACTGAAAATAACAGTGACGTAGACTTTGAAATCAATCATTGTACAAAAAGCCTGCACTTACTTTTCTCCGGACGAACTTCTTGAGGACACTCAGAAGTTTCTCCAGTTTCACGTTGGTCTCCTCCTCGAGAAACATAATCCAAGAGGAGTTCTTCCCAAAGTGAGAGGAAAAACTGCGGGAAGAAACACACACAGGGCACTCACCATTCTGCAGAAGAGCACAACATTCTACACCAAACTCAAATGTCCCAAATCTTGGCACCAAATGGCACTAATGGCACTAAAAGGACACAAACACGCTTTCACTCAAATGACAAAGGGGAAAAAAAGTGCTCGACAATCCATATCTACTGATGGAAATAAATCAATACCACATTCTTTCCAGAGCAGTAGAATAATTAGCAGATGAAGTCTTTGATTTGTGTCTGCTGAGTGTCTGTGTAGTAGTTATGTTTGAGTGCACTTACTAAGGCAGCGAGGGCAGAATGCTCCAGTCCCCCTCACTGTCTGACAGGGTGTGAAGGAGCAGGATGGGGGGAGGACTCTGAAAGGGAAAGATAAATTTAGTAGGCACAGGAAAAACCCTGGCACAGCTACCTGTAGGGTTTGAGGCAGTGGAGAGAAACGGTATCTGAGCTTATCCTACACTAAAATAACAACACGATAAGCACATTTCTCAAAGCATTAGTTAATTTTATGCCCATATTTTCCCATACTTATGAGATTTTACGTACAAAAAACTGTCATAATTCATTTTTAATTTTTATAAGTCATTTTAGACCATCTACCAAGTTCTCTTTAACCCTTATTAATTAACCTGTTTAATACTGGGGCTTTAAAGATGTATATATCGCTGCTGTCGAGACAAAACCTTGTACGTCCATTTTTGTAGTTTCCAGTTTTTGATATAATCTGAAAATGTCTGTTGTCCTTCACATTGTGTGTAAATGTCATGATAAATAGACCAAAAGAAACGAGCCAAAATTACTTGGAAAAATGTCTGGTTCCATTGACTTACATTAAAAGTAAAGTGTGTTTTTTCCTTCTCCTGTAAAGTTACCATGTTGGAGATACGAGGTTTTGTTCCGACAGCAGCGATATGTACATACGTATATACTATATATGTACATGATCTCTGTTCTGATTGGCGGTCCTATAATATTGGGCCACACTCAAAAGATTGTCTAGTCTAAGGCTTTGTTCACATCACCAGGCTGAAGTGGCACAAATCAAATTTTTTGCCTTAACACACGTGACACAGATCTATGTTTACAGAGCTGTGTGGACACACAAATCTGATCTTTTCAAATCAGATCTGACCACTTTCATGTGTGCTCCCTAGATTGGATACATATCCAATTTGTGGCCAAGTGACCTTAATCAGAATTCATGTGTTTTTCAGATCGAAATTCATGTGTTTTTTTTTCTTTCGCTGCACCATCAATTCAGTGTTAAAGCCAGTGTGACTTACAAAAAGTGCTTTGTTGTCTACCTAGAGGAAGTATTTTAGCTCGTACAAATAGGTCAGAGTAAAAGCTACTCCTGAGCTCAGATACTGCCAGAAACAAAAGCCCATGTTGATACCTAGAGAAAAGAAACAGAATAAGACATACAAAACAATACATTTCAATAAGTACGTAGTGTCCCCTGCAAAAGTGCTGTAGAATATAGATGTGTCTTAAAACTGCGGTGGAAGGTAAACTGTGGAAAAGCAACACTCACCCTCTTCACCTTCGTCTCACTCTAATAATGAGCAGCTGAGAGCCATTTAGAGCTAATTATATCTGCTGGAAAGGCTTGTTTTGCTGGTTCATTTATGTGCTGTTCATGACGCATGTGATTCATAAACGTAATGTTATTAATTAGGATGTGCGCATGCAAGTTGTTTCAGGAAACCATTAATGACAGATTTGAGTCACTTACCTAAATGAGTGTGTTAGAGAGAAAGAATCTGAGCGAAAAATTGGATTTGAGCAATAAGGATTGTAATGTGAACATGGCCTAAACTGCTGCAGGCAGAATAGATGGATGTGTGTAAATGACATCACCAAAATGATTCATTTAAAACAGGCTGTTTTTGCAGCTTAGGCTCCATGTGTGTACCATGTGGACTGGGATGTGAACTGCATGTTTAACAGCCTCCACTCTTTTGGTGGTAATGACAAGCATTACACACACAATAACATCATATTCCATAAAAAAGTGTTTTTCCCTGTAAACAAGCAGTTTGCTTTCAGTTTTGCTTTTAGTAGACAGTTAACTGTGGTCTGTGTCTTTTGCAGGGTGCTTGACATTTGTTTAGAAAAAAACACATAAAAAAGATCAAAACATATAAAGTAAACTATAAGTTTCTTTTCTAGAAAATGTTCTTTCAGTCTGGTTAACGTTCACAATGCTGTGAAAGACTCCCTTTGCCAGGTTTATAAGGTGTTCTTTTAGTACAGGGTACCTGTCACAAATACTACATAACCATCTAATCACAGTTATTTGAGTTATTAACTTTCACAAATCATATGTTTATACTGCAACAAATAAAATGTGAATTGGCTGTGTTTTCTTCATCAGTGAGGTTGAAGTTGAAAGTATTTCTTATTTAATAATTGACTTGGTGCTATAACACCTTTAGAGGGCAGCAGTGAGTAATGTTTGTTTATTTGATGTTTGTTAACACCTTTAGAGGGCAGCAGTGAGTAATGTTTGTTTATTTGATGTTTGCTAATAACACCTTTAGAGGGCAGCAGTGAGTAATGTTTGTTTATTTGATGTTTGCTAATAACACCTTTAGAGGGCAGCAGTGAGTAATGTTTGTTTATTTGATGTTTGTTAATAACACCTTTAGAGGGCAGCAGTGAGTAATGTTTGTTTATTTGATGTTTGCTAATAACACCTTTAGAGGGCAGCAGTGAGTAATGTTTGTTTATTTGATGTTTGTTAATAACACCTTTAGAGGGCAGCAGTGAGTAATGTTCGTTTATTTGATGTTTGTTAATAACACCTTTAGAGGGCAGCAGTGAGTAATGTTCGTTTATTTGATGTTTGCTAATAACACCTTTAGAGGGCAGTAGTGAGTAATGTTCGTTTATTTGATGTTTGCTAATAACACCTTTAGAGGGCAGCAGTGAGTAATGTTTGTTTATTTGATGTTTGTTAATAACACCTTTAGAGGGCAGCAGTGAGTAATGTTTGTTTATTTGATGTTTGCTAATAACACCTTTAGAGGGCAGCAGTGAGTAATGTTCGTTTATTTGATGTTTGTTAATAACACCTTTAGAGGGCAGCAGTGAGTAATGTTTGTTTATTTGATGTTTGCTAATAACACCTTTAGAGGGCAGCAGTGAGTAATGTTCGTTTATTTGATGTTTGCTAATAACACCTTTAGAGGGCAGCAGTGAGTAACGTTAGCTTATTTGATGCTAACACATTTAGAGGACACTGTGAGTAATGGTTAATTAAGCGTACCAGCAGAAGCATGGGCTCACTGACTTTATCAATGTGATTTTAAAGATCTTTTGACACTGTGAAACTGTGATACTTGCTATTTTCTTAAATGCTGTGATAGTGAATTTTAATAGCAGTTCTCTGAACATAAAATGTCACAATTTCACTTTTTCAGGGGCAAAAATGAAACAGGAGTTGTGTGTCATTAATGAAGGTTTCGTGTTGGCACAAGCAACATAAACAAAGCCAAACAGTCTGGCGGCCGCAGATCACTGCCCAGTCACATTATCATCAGACTGAGGGGAAATCTACCCTCAGACGACCTTGGCTTCAGCCACTGTGGAGCACTAAATAAATAAATAAATAAATAAATAAATAAATAAAAAGAAAACTGACCAATGCTGAAACATTCCAGTGAATGTACAACCCTATTTCCTAAAAAGTTGGGACACTGTGCAAATCATTTAAACTCTATATTTCACTGAAAATAGTATAAAGACAACAAATCAAATGTTGAAATTGAGAAACTTTGAAAAATGTTTTTTGAAAAACACATGACCATTTTGAATTTGATGCCAACACCACGTTCCAAAAAAGTTGGGACGGGGGCATGTTTACCACTGTGTTTCATCATCTCTTCTTTTAACAACACTCTGTGTTTGGGAACTGAGCAGACACTGCTGTAGTTTTGAAAGTGAATTTTTCCCGTTCTTGTTTGATGTGGGATTTCAGCTGCTCATCAGTTTGGGGGTCTCCTTTGATGTATTTTTCATTTTATAATGTGCCAAATGTTTTCAGTAGTGACAGGTCTGGACTGCAGGCAGGTCAGTATAGCACCCGGACTCTTTTAATAAAGAGCAATGCTGTTGTTATACATGCAGAATATGGTTTGGCATCATCTTGCTGAAATGATCAAGGCCTTCCCTGAAAAAGATGTTGTCTGGATGGCAGCATATGTTGCCAAAACATGTATATATCGTTCAGCATTAACGGTGCCTTCACAGATGTGCATGTCACCCCTATCATGTGCACTAATGCACCTCTATACAATCATGCATGCTGGCTTTTGAACTGTGCACTGATAACAAGCTGAGTGGTCTTTAGCCCGGAGGACACAGTGTCCATGATTTCCAAAAAGAATTTCAAATGTTGATTCGTCAGACCACAAGACACTTTTCTACTTGCTCTCAGTCCATTTTAACTGAGCTCAGGCCCAGAGAAGGTGGCAGCATTCCTGGATCCTGTTTCTATATGTTTTCGTCTTTGCGTTTAAGAGTTTTAACTTGCATGTGTGGATGCAGCGATGAACTGTTTACATAGACAGCGGATTTCAGCAGTGTTTGAGCCCATGCAGTGATTTCCTCTACAGAATCATGTCCGTTTTTAATGCAGTGCCTTGTCCCTTACATACAGAGATTTCTCCAGATTCTCTAAATCTTTTAATGATATTATGTACTGTAGATGATGAAAAGTAAAAGTTCTTTGCTATTTTATGTTGAGAAGCATCATTCTTGATTATTTGATTGTGCAGTCTTTCACAGAGTGGTGAATCCCTCCTCATCTTTACTTCAAAAACACTCAGCCTTTCTGAGATGCTCATTTTATACCCAATCATGTTATTGATCTGTTGCCAATTTACCACCAGGTGCATTAGACAACTTTACCAGCCTTTTTTTGCCCCCGTCACAACTTTTTTGGAATGTGTTGCTGGCATCTAATTCAAAATGGGCATATATTTTTCAACATTTGATATATTGTCCTTGAAGCATTTAATGAAATATAGGGTTTAAATGATTTGCACATCACTGCATTTTGTTTTTACTTTTTTGTTTTACATTTTTCACAGCGTCCCAACTTTTTTGGAAATGGGGTTGGACCTTAAATGAGCATGGTATTTCCAATATGGCCTTTGAGGAGAGATGGAGGTGGACAAACAGGTCAGACAGACTTTAATTTCCTGACATTTTCTGAACTCTTTTCACGAAAGCCTGCAAGCGCATGGGTCACTAAAGCCGTGATTGAGCCATTGAGTATGGTGAAGAAGGAGGTCAGAGAGACACTGCTGTTGCGCAGGAACAGGTACAGCATGCTGCTCCAATCATACTC